TTAGACTGAGAGCAGAGGGGATCAGGCATACTCTGGTCCTGGGCTCTATTAACCCATTTTCAGTGGCAGATAATATTCAAACTCCAAAGGAAAATTTCAATGTTAAATGTATTCTATGTACTTACAACATTTATTATAACAAATATCAATATACCCTTCTTTATTCTAGCCCTTCTAATGTACTTTACCCCCTCTCTAATGTACTTGCTTTTCATTTTAAGTCTTCCTCTCTTAAAAGGGCTAGTTCTTTTTCTGTGCTCTAGGAAAATAATAAGGACAAAAGTTACTTAAACCTCAAGAGCTGACATAAGAAGGTAAATATTAGGGCAGGGTGCCATAATTATAGTAATTCTTTTTATTAAATGCCCACTACATGCCACAGTGCCACCCTGTAGCAAAATGATGTATTTAAATATGGTGACAGGTGGTATGCATGCCTGCAAACAGAAGAAATCCCAAGCTCTCATATCTCTTATGGCCAAAGGGATAATGTAGAACTTGTTGGAATAATAATAATGGCTAACATTTATTAGGAGCATGGCATAGGCACTGTTCTAGGGTCTTCAAATGCATTGACTCATCTGATCCTTACAATAACCCTACTAAGTAAGGTATGTGGTATTTTAATGCCCATTACAAGATGAAGAAACTGGAACTGAAAGGTGAAATCATTCACTCAAGATCACACAACTGGGAAGTGGTGAGGCTAGAATTCAAATCCAAGCAGTGGCTCCAGAATCTACATGCTTAACCACAACACTACATTAACGACAAATTGGTTGAGATTAGGAATTGTCCCAAGAGGGAAAAAAAAAATCACACAATTTTAGGGCTGGAATGAACCCTAAAGATTACTCAGTCCAACCTTCTTATCTTACCAATGAGAAAAGGGAGGCAGGGAAAGGTTAACCTACTGGCCTACGGTCACACAGTTTGTAAGCAGCTTGAACTTGCATTACAGTGCAGGTCTTCTAAACCCTAGTCAAGTTTTCATTCCATTATATCATATTATGCTCTCCCAGATACACTCAGGTGGCAAAATACAAGCAGAATTCAGCCCTACTGTCTTTTCTGGGGCTGCCCCTGAGCTATTGAACAGGCTAGAAAAACATCCCCAGAGCTGAGCAGACGGGCTTCATTTTCATTTAAAGGAACCATGATCGTAAGCCTCAGCTGAGCGCTCATCGGTGCGCAGCGATGCTACTTCTGCACTAAACTTGCTTTCCCACTCTTCAAAGCGACTGTGATACATCTTCACCTCTCTCCTCATCCTCCCCCATCTTTCCCACTCCTCTTCTGCCCTTAGCCGACGATCGTGCCTCATATTATGGAGAAAACAAAAGTCATCAGGAAGAGCTGTCTTATCTCCCACCACCAAATCTACAAACTGACCTACATCTTTATTTATAACCTGTCTCTTCTGTCCTTTTAAAGTAGTGTCCCTGAATCCCATACTCTCCTGCCAGCTCATGGACTTTGCTCCTGCAGATATTCCTCTTCTTCTGCATTATCAGTTTTCCATTTTTACTGGAGGTCAGCTTTGATTTCTACTCTTTCAATGTCCTATATTTCTCAACCATCGGTAAATCCTGCCTTTTGATTCTAACTTCAAAATACTTCTTGAATGTCCCCATTTCTCTTCATCTTTCTTAACATCACGTTTATCCAAGTTACCATTTCCTCTTACCTAGACTCCTGCAGTTAAAAAAATGGCCTTCTAAGACGAATGGATGAGGAAGCTGTGGTACATATACACCATGGAATATTACTCAGCCATTAAAAAGAATTCATTTGAATCAGTTCTAATGAGATGGATGAAACTGGAGCCCATTATACAGAGTGAAGTAAGCCAGAAAGATAAAGACCATTACAGTATACTAACACATATATATGGAATTTAGAAAGATGGTAACGATAACCCTATATGCAAAACAGAAAAAGAGACTCCGATGTATAGAACAGACTTGTGGACTCTGGGAGAAGGCGAGGGTGGGCTGTTTCAAGAGAACAGCATCGAAACACGTATATTATCTAGGGTGAAACAGTTCACCAGCCCAGGTTGGGTGCATGAGACAAGTGCTCGGGCCTGGTGCACTGGGAAGACCCAGAGGGATTGGGTGGAGAGGGAGGTGGGAGGGGGGACCGGGATGGGGAATACATGTAAAAAAAAAAAAAAGATACACTATGGTTGTGATAAAAAAATAAATAAATAAATAAATAAATAAATAAAAAATAAAAAAAAATTAAAAAAAAATGGCCTTCTAATAGGCTGTCCTGCTTCCATTCTTGCCCGTCTTTAACTCATACTCTACTGAACAGCCGAATTAGTCTTTATAAAATATATGTAAAAATTCATGCTACTCCCACACATAAAACCTTTCTATGGATTCCTACTGCTTTGAGAATAAAATTCAGAATTCTTGAGGTCTATAAACCCTGTATGATGTGGCCCCTGTTTACCTCTCCCCACTTCATCTCTTGGCATGTTCCCTTTCAGTCAACCATGACGCCCTCCCTCTGTTCCTACAACACACCCAGTTCTTTCTTGCCTCAAAGACCTGTGCTTACTGTCCCTGAGGTTCTTTATGTGACAGTTACTTTCTCATTTACCAGATCTCAGCCTGATACGCGTCTTTTCAAAGAAACTTTCCTTCCATGATATCTATGTTGTTGTTTTTGTTGTTTAGTCACTCAGTGATGTGCAACTCTTTTGCAACCTCACAGACTGTATCCCACCAGAAGTGGGTTGCCATTCCGTTCTCAAGGGGATCTTCCCAACCCAGGGATTGAACCCAAGTCTCCTGCATTGCAGGCAGATTCTTTACCATCTGAGCCACCAGAGAAGCCCTGATATCTATGTAAGTCCTGCCAATTTTTTCATTAGTAGCTGTGCTATCACTTACAACCACCAGTAAGAAGTTTACACATGTGATTCCTTGTCCACTTGTCTGGTTCAAAGCTCAATGAGGGCAGGGACCTTTGTCTATCTTTTTTTCATGTTGTATTTCTAATACCTAACAGAGTACCTGGCACCAAGCAAGTGCTCAATAAATTTCTGCTGAATTATGAAATGAATGAATCAATTACTGGCTCCCATTGAAAAATGTCTGGGACAATGGTTGAATAGGGAGAGACACAGTACTTAGAATAAACCAAACAAAAAGAGGAAGAAATCCATTCATGCTATCCAAAATATGGATGCTCTTCTTCAGGTTTTCTATAATCATTTATCAACACACTGCTGTCAAAGGCACTCTAACCAGGGGGAAATAACTCCAGTGTCTTTAGGGAAAGAATCTGGCTGGTTACCTGATCCTAAACCTTTTGCCAAACCGTAATCAGCAGACAACACATCCTGATCTCCTTTTGTGGTGATATTTTACTGAACAGGGAAAAAAAAGTATCTGCAAGGTTAGCTCATATACAGGACAGGATCTTGAGGATGATAATCATTTGTCAAATATGCTCCTTCTCACTACACACACTTGAACAGAAAGTGAGAGTTATGTTTTACTTGGTTATTTTTACCTCGAGTCATTTATTCCTCTGCTAAGTAGTTTATTGATTCTTCAACATCAATTTGGAGCTGGAGTTTACAGCACTCCTGTCAGAAATCTTATAGTACTCAAAATAAATGTCTTGCCCAAACAATACCATGTCAGTTGTCAAAGATGTAACTCAGGAAAACAAATGCACCTAAAGCTAGAAACTAAATATAGATATCCCCTCGTCCACACACACTTGGGATGTGACCTAAGAACAGAAAACAAAAAAAAACTGTAACATATGAAGAATTCGGTAGTATAAGGAGTCTAATAAGGAAAGTGTTAGAATTCACTATAGCCTACTACCTCCCACTGATGTTCCACAACAGTTATTTTAGACAGGAAGCACAAGGTTGCCAAATGTTCTTGTTCTACATTTCCTGTACTAGTTTCACATCCTACACATCTAGCCCTAGTATTAAAATATTGTCTATGATAATTTACTTCCTGGCTTCTAGAGTGGGAGCCTCCAAGGCCTGCCTATAAACCTTTTGGCATTCAAATTTTGACTTTCACCCTGTAGAAAGCACATCTATCTGCCTACACACACCATCCCCTTCTAGCAAAATGTTGGTTATGCTCAAATGCTTTGGGATTAGGAGTGAGGAAGTCTTGAGTTACATATCTAAGTATAACCCACTAACTAATGGGCCAGAGAAACAGAAGAAAGACAGAAATGTTTTAACAGTGTCACCCAAGGTGTACATATTCATGTATACTGATACATACACACAGGACTAAATTTTCTTTTGACCTTAGAAGGAAAGCAAGTGCTAAACATTCCTGAGTCTTAGCACTGCACATTTAAAACAACCGCTTTACATGTTGATTTGGAGTTGCAGTTCATCTGAGACACTTAGGGGATTCCCCAAAGTGCACCAGAATTTGGGCATATACGAAATTGTAATTACTTCCATTCCTTTTCTCCAATTTCCTCATAATTGCTTTTCCTGATATGGCCCTATGTTCTTTAGGGGATTGTGGAAAGGGTTCCAACACACTAGTTGGTCTTATAAAGCTGCATGACAAGGCAGGGCCATTCTTTTAACAAATATCTATTGAATACCTGCTAGGTGCCAGGCACTGTTCTAGAAACTGGCATAACAAGCCCACAGAGGGGATGCACAGGTTCAAATGAGCTTAAGAGAGTAACAAGGAGAGCAGGATATCTGATTTCTATGGCTATTTCTTTTTTGTTTTTAATCAGGCAATGGAGCAGCAACTGCCATAGGCTGTCAGTAGCAGGTGAGATGTCAAACAAGGGGCCTCTTCCTCAGGGCCCTCTGACTTGGTCTTCCCTCCTTTCTAATTCCAGTCTAGCACACCTCAGGATCCAGGGAAAAGAGATCTGAAGGATGAAGGCAATTTTGTGCTGAGTAACTGAGACAATCAGCATGCTCTCTAAAGCTAGCTCCCCAAACCATCTCAGCCCTGAACCCAGTTCTCTACTGCCACTTGCTTTATATCTTGGTTTGAAGTTCCCGTTTGTTCTCCCCCTCGTTCTACTGCAGCACATGGAGGCAGTTTCAAGTACACCATTATCTTTACTCTGGTGAGGGAAAAATCTTAAACTTTTATGCAGATCATTCATTCATTCAACAAATATTTAATAAGTACCTACTAGGTGTCAGGGACTGGGACCTGTGCCAGGGACTTGGGGCTAGGACTATATCAGTGAATAGACAGATATTAAGCCCTACTCTCATAGAACTTACAATTTAAATGGCTGTTGTCGAGGTAAATTACACAGAAAACGAATCAAACTGATCACATGGACCACAGCCTTGTCTAACTCAATGAAACTATGTATGAGCCATGCCCCATAGGGCCACCCAAGACCAATGGGTCATGGTGGAGAGTTCTGACAAAACGTGGTCCCCTGGAGAAGGGAATGGCAAACCACTTCAGTATTCTTGCCTTGAGAACCCCATGAACAGTATGAAAAGGCAAAATGATAGGACACTGAAAGATGAACTCCCCAGTTCGATAGGTGCCCAGTATACTACTGGAGATCAGTGGAGAAATAACTCCAGAAAGAATGAAGAGATAGAGCCAAAGCAAAAACAACACTCAGATGTGGGTGTGACTGGTGATGGAAGTAAAATCCGATGCTGTAAAGAGCAATATTTCATAGGAACCTGGAATGTTAGGTCCATGAATCAAGGTAAATTGGAAGTGGTCTAACAGGAGACGGCAAGAGTGAATATAGACATTTTAGGAATTGGCGAAATAAAATGGATTAGAATGGGTGAATTTAACTCAGATGACTTTTATATCTGCTACTGTGGGCAAGAATCCCTTAGAAGAAATGGAATAGCCCTCATAGTCAAAAGAGTCTGAAATGCAATACTTACATGCAATCTCAAAAATGACAGAATGATCTCTGTTTCCAAGGAAAACCATTCAATATCACAGTAATCCAAGTCTATGCTGCAACTAGTAATGCTGAAAAAGCTGAAGGTGAATGGTTCTATGAAGACTTACAAGACCTTATAGAACTAACACCTACATCTTTTTGGATGTCCTTTTCATTATAGAGGACTGGAATGCAAATATAGGAAGTCAAGAGATACCTGGACTAACAGGCAAATTTGGCCTTGGAGTACAAAACGAAGCAGGACAAAGACTAACAGAGTTTTTCCAAAAGAACGCACTGGTCATAGCAACCACCCTCTTACAACAACACAAGAGAAGACTCTACACATGGACATCATGAAATGGTTGATACCGAAATCAGACTGAATATATTCTTTGCAGCCAAAGATGGAGAAGCTCTATACAGTCAGCAAAAACAAGACTGGGAGCTGACTGTGGCACAGATCATGAACTCCTTATTGCCAAATTCAGACTTAAATTGAAGAAGTAGGGAAAACCATTAGACCATTCAGGTATGACCTAAATCAAATCCCTTATGAAAATATGCTGGAAGTGACAAACAGATTCAAGGGATTAGATCTGATAGACAGAGTTCCTGAAGAACTTTGGACACAGGTTTGTGATATTGTACAGGAGGCAGTATTCAACACCATCCCCCCAAAAAAGAAATGCAACAGGCAAAATGGTTGTCTGAGGAGGCCTTACAAATAGCTGAGAAAAAGGCAAAGGAGAAAAGGAAAGATACACCCATTTGAATGCAGAGTTCCAAAGAATAGCAAGGAGAGAGAAGAAAGTCTTCCTTTGTGATTAATGCACAGAAATAGAGGAAAACAACAGAATGGGAAAGATTAGAGATATCTTCATGAAAATTAGGGAAACCAAGGGAACATTTCAATGCAAAGGTGGGCAAAATAAGGGACAGAAATGGTATGGACCTAACAGAAGCAGAAGATATTAAGAAGAGGTGGCAAGAATACACAGAAGAACTATACAAAAAAGATCTTCATGACCCAGATAACTATGATGGTGTGATCACTCACTGAGAGCCAGACATCCTGAAATGTAAAGTCAAGTGGGCCTTAGGAAGCATCACTACAAACAAAGCTAGTGGAGGTGATGGAATCCCAGATGAGCTATTTCAAATTCTAAAAGATGATGCTGTCAAAGTGCTGCACTCAATTTGCCAGCCAATTTGGAAAACTCAGCAGTGGCCACAGGACTGGAAAAGGTCAGTTTTCATTCTAATGCCAAAGAAAGGCAATGCCAAAGAATGTTCAGACTACCACATAACTGCACTCATCTCACATGCTAGCAAAGTAATGTCAAAATTCTCCAAGCCAGGCTTCAACAGTATGTGAACCATGAACTTCCAGATGTTCAAGCTGGATTTAGAAAAGGCAGAGGAACCAGAGATCAAATTACCAACATCCGCTGGATCATCGAGAAAGCAAGAGAGTTCCAGAAAAACATCTACTTCTGCTTTATTGACTATGCCAAAGCCTTTGACTGTGTGGATGACAATGAACTGGAAAATTCTTCAAGAGATGGGAATACTAGACCACCTTACCTGCCTCCTGAGAAATCTGTATGCAGGTCAGGAAGCAACAGTTAGAACTGGACATGGAACAACAGACAGGTTCCAAATCGGGAAACGAGTATGTCACGGCTGTATATTGTCACCCTGTTTATTTAATTTATATGCAGAGTACATCATGAGAAATGCCGGCTGGATGAAGCACAAGCTGGAATCAAGATTGCCGGGAGAAACACCAGTAACCTCAGAAATGCTGATATCACCACCCTTATAGCAGAAAGTGAAGAAGAACTAAATAGCCTCTTGATGAAAGTCAAAGAGGAGAGTGAAAAAGTTGACTTAAAACTCAACATTCAGAAAACAAAGATCATGGCATCTGGTCCCATTACTTCATTGCAAATAGATGAGGAAACAATGGAAACAGTGAGAGACTTTATTTTTGCAGGCTCCAAAATCACTGCAGATGGTGACTGCAGTCATGAAATTAAAAGACGCTTGCTCCTTGGAAGAAAAGCTATGACCAATCTAGACAGCATATTAAAAAGCAGAGGCACTACTTTGCCAACTAAGGGCCATCTAGTCAAAGCGATGGTATGGATGTGAGAGTTAGACCAAAAAGAACTCTGAATTCCAAAGAATTGATGCTTTTGAACTCTGGTGTTGGAGAAGACTCATGCAAGTCCCTTGGACTGCAAGGAGATCCAACCAGTCAATCCGAAAGGAAATCAGTCCTGAATATTCAATGGAAGGACAGATGCTGAAGCTGAAACTCCAATTCTTTGGCCACCTGATGGGAAGAACTGACTGATTGGAAAAGACCCTGAAGCTGAGGAAGATTGAAGGCAGGAGGATGACAGAGGATGAGATGGTTGGATGGCATCACTGACTCTACGGACATGAGTTTGAGTACGCTCCGGGAGATGGTGATGGACAGGGAAGCCTGGTGTGCTGCAGTCCATGGGGTCACAAAGAGTTGGACATGACTGAGTGACTGAACTGAACTGATGCATTCATTAGTTGATGGACACTGCTGGGTTGTTTCTATATCTTGCCTATTGCAAACAGGGCTTCTGGCGTGAACACTGGGGTTCATGTATCTTATTGGATTCGTATTTTCATTTCTTTTACAGATATATACCCAGTAGTGGAATTACTGCCTCATATGGTTGCTCTATTTTTAGTTTCCTTCTTACATTTTTTGGGGGGGGTGCACTACTCAGCATGCAGGATCTCAGTTCCCCAACCAGGGATTGAACTTGTGCCCTCTGCAGTGGAAGTACAAAGTCTTAACCAGTGGACTGCCAGGGAAGTGTCTATTTTTAGTTTTTTGAGGAACCTCCATATTGTTCTCCACAGTGACTGCATCAATTTACATTCCCACCAACTGTGTGCAAGGGTTCCCTTTGCTCCACATCCTTGCCAACATTTGTTATTTGTGGTTTTTGTAATAAAATGGCAATAAGCATATTCCCATCAATAATTACTTTAGGTTCTTGGTGCTTTTGATGTTTCTGTACTCTATGATGCTCTAGGCTGCCTCTACTCCTTTTTCAGGTCCATGGGCACATCCCCTTTGTCGTGATTATCCCTAAGGAATAGAGCTCCTTACAATGATACCCCATCTTTCTTAAGTCCTGGTGAAAGCAATTTGACCAAAAGTACCTGGGTACTAGGCTCTGGCTTCTGGTCTTGGGAATCTCTGCCTAGCCTCTTAGCTGAGCGCTCAACTCCATTTACAAATCCTTACTTTCCTTAACTCTTCTCTAATCTCTTCTTTTTGTTTACTTTGTACTTCTGTTTTTTTTTCCTGACAGCCATTTCTCAACCAAGTTGAGAAAAGAAGGTAGCTGGGAATACGAAAGAGCTGGATTCAATTTAAATAAATCTATGTTAAAAAAATCTGGATTTCAAGGATGATTTGAAAAAGAAAGCTTTGGAGGCCAGGTACCAAGTCTTCAAGACTCTGATCTCATATATATATATATATAGATAGATATATTATATATATATATTACAGGAAGCAACTATATATAGTATAGTTAGCAACTATACTTGCTTCCTGTAAAATTTCTACAAGCTGTCCTTTAAAATAATTGTTCTTTAAAATAATAATTCTTTAAAATAATATATATATATATCTCATATATATATATATCTCATATATATATATATATATATATATATATATAGTTGCTTCCTGTAAAATTTCTACAAGCTGTTCTTTAAAATAATTGTGCTGTGTGCTTATGGGTTCTTGTGGGGTTTTAACATCTTGAAACCACAGGGGCAAACAGGAAAATCTTAAAGTGTGATTACTCAGTAGCCAAATAAAATGTTATAAGAAATTGCTCACTTTCCCACCCTTCAATTTTTTATACCCAATCTGAAATAGAAAACAAGTTGAAAACATTTCAGTCCAAAGGGTAATTTTATGAAAAAGATAAGCACCTAGGAACACAGGCTTATAATGAAAGTGTCTCTTCTACCATAGAACAACACTAATGTAATTCAATAAAGTTTATAAAACCATCCCTGCCAATCAAAACCTAGAAAAGACAATTTCCTCTTTGTGGAAATAGATGTGATACTGAACAGAAACAAATCAGGCTGCAATTAACTTAGGAAAAAACATGACACAG